TATAAACATGGCGTATGCAGGTAAATAACCAACAACAGCCATCGACAGCCAGTAACATGCATGCAGAAAGCTTCTCAGTAAATGACCTGCACTCAGCTTCTCCATAAATCATCAAATGGTGCAACATTTATCCACTATGCATAGCGCCAACTACTGGTATCCTCCAAAAGTAACCCTTACTTAAAAGATCTAACATATTTACTGTATAAGTCAGGACACTTTTTCAACAAAGCAGCACAAAGTAGCATCAAGTGAGCACAGGGAATGACCACTGGTCACCCAGGTTCAGAGTGTATTGGTCATGCTGATTACAAACAAAATAATTAGCTGCCTTTAACCAGGTTGACCTCATAAACTAATCAACACAAGATCCCCAGTGACAACATAAAGACCAGCAGGGCTCTTTATGGTTTGAAAAGGGTACTGGACACTGGGAATCTTAGAAGTGGGTGACTGAGAATAAAGTACACAGCCCCTGACACGTTTGTGTGACCAGTTGTCTGAAAGTTAAAAGACCGGTGAGCTGCAAAATCATCTTCTTACAATGTACTCTGAATGTGAAGTGTTTTCCTGACATTGTGGTGTATTTACAAATAAAAACAATAGTTTTGTTCAGATAACTATTTTCCCTCTGCATAATTAAGGTTTTTACTATTAGATGGATTTTCAGCACAGATGTGATGCTGGGAGAACAGGAAAACTAAATTTGGTCCAAAACTCACATTACCAAGAGAGGCCCAGCATCATGGTTTTCAAGAGACTGTCAATGACCGGTGAAAAGGAGCTTTATTGGCTGTGTCTGACCCCCCCCCAGCTCTTCCGCACCGTGTTTAGATTTTGAGGTCATAAATCTATGGGAAACAAGTTTCACTAGATTAACTGCAGACACAATCAGGATGAGGGGGAGAACGATTAGGCCAGATCTACGCAGCGCGGACCCAGGACACACATCCTGTGTGAGGCATCTGTGTTTCATTAAGTAAGCTCAGTGCCGTATGATGGTGGGGCCAGAGAGTCCAGGAAACAGACAGTCTGCAATAACCATGAAGCAAGCATCAGTAACCTAACAATTGCCCAGCTTACAGCTGCCTGTGCTGTAATTTACATCCTGTAACTGCACCAGTCTGGAGACTGGGCGAACATGTTGACCAGTCCTCTTCCAGTGCGGCATCGCATCCAGCCACCACTGCTTGCTGGATAACTGCCATAGCTGGTTGACTCGGGACTGGCCCACCACTAGGCCACTTTAAAAAGAATATTAAGCATTTCAAGGGTCCAAGTGGTTATGGAACATTAGATGGCTGGCGAGCAGGCATCACAAGTGGCATTCTGGATAACCATGATGTCCGGCTCAGGGTCCTGCAAGCCTTTGGGGGTGGAATCAAAGCCCCAGCTCAACACTTTCGTAGGGTGTGCAGCAGGACACACAAGAGAGGTGAAAACATTCCCTGAGCGACAGTATCAGAGACCCTCCTCAGCTACTTAAGGTGCATCACTGCTCTCCTCACACGCCACAGCCTTATCTACGCAGCTCAGGCCTCTCGTCAGGAGGGACAGGGCACGACATGCCACGTAGCTGCCAGCACTCAAAGCCCTTACAAAGAAAGCCACACGCGCATCTGATAGCCGAAGTGCGAGCCCCGAGCCAGGGGCCCGGAGAAGCGGCCTCCAGCTCACAGTGCTCATCTTATTAACAAGACAGCCGGTTCTGTGGGGATTAAGAACCTGCGACCGCAGGGTTGCAGGTTCAAATCCCAAGAGGGGTTCCAACGTTGTAGAGTGAAGTGCTTAACCGGAATCGTCGTAGTAACAATATCCAGTTCCATAAATGAGTGAAGTATAATCAGGGATTAAGCTGAAGTGATTCCACTTTTTTTCGCATTGAAAAGCCACATATGCTAACAGGGCCATATAGGCTCCTTTATTACTGTGATGTTTCTAAAGGGATTGGCCTGGCCTTTCCAGCTATGGGAGGACACAGCCCTTTCGTGAATTTACAGAGAACAAATAAGAAATTAAAAAAGCATGAATATAAATTAAATATAAAATATGAAAATAAAATGTCAAATAGAGGATAAATAACTGCTTACAGCTGGCGCTTTTTCCATTCAGACTAATGAATGTAAACACACACTGAACAAAACATACAGAAATTTGTTTTGTTTGTTATAACCTGATGAAAAAGCGCAATCAAATTTATTTCAGACTAAATATTTATACCTTTATGAATAACATGATAGTATTAGTTTATAATTTTACTCCACCATGGTAAATTCGATAAAGACACACATAAGGAATATATACTTAATTTCAGTCCTGGCAAATCCATTTTAATTAAAAAAAATCTTTGTAAACTACTCAGCCTTTACATCTACTTATGATTCAAAATAATTAAGTTGGTAATTAATATGACGGTTAACAATATTTTCTTATGAAGTCAGCCACTTTGCAGTCTTGAAAACATAGTAATTCTAATTAATAACGAAAGAGGTTAATGAGGATGTTGGGAAAGTACTTTGGTGATTGCTTTTCTCCCTTAAGTTTTCTTTTTTTAATTAGAGGACACTATAATACTTTAATTTTTCTCCTAATAAAACCAGCGTGGACAGTATTTAGCAGACAATTAGATAAGGCCCAAATAAATTGGACCTTCTCTTACCCATAAGCCCAGAATATTCCCACGAGCTCTTTTGAGAAAGTCACCCTCAGACACTTTCCATGTCTACCACCCGTACACTCAGTTTGTTTTATGTATATGAGGTAAGGAGCATGCGCTGATGTATATGGCTGTCATAATAAAAACCGTAGTCCAGATTTCCAAATGCAGTATGACAATATATCAACTACTTACTCTACGAAAGCACCATGCACATTACTGACAGGAAACGGTGAATTTGAAATTTTGGTTTTCCTCCAAATTTGACATATGTACATAATCATTTTCATGACTTCAATACAGCAATTTCAGGGGAGCATTATGGGAGTAAAACCAGTAACATTTTGATCACAGATACATTCCAACACTGGTATTGTTTACTTTTGTGTGTTGCCAAATCATCCACATTTTCACATAAAAAGACCAACCTCACTCCAATTTGGAGTAAAAGCTTTGCATGTGAAAATCCAACATCCCTACTTCCCAGGGTTTTTACAGTCAATAGCTGCCTGAAATATTGCACTAAACAGAGCTTAAGAGTTCGGTGCTTCCCCCAATTTTTTTTTAGATCTCAGAACGGAATTCAGAAACAGATTTATCTAGAGAACTACGTTGTACATCCTTGGACGGCCATAAAAAGGTAACATCGCTCCCAAGCTCCATGTGAAGATGTTTATGTTTTACCTGGCCAATCAAATCAGAGACAAACCAGGAAAGTTGGCAACGTGCTGAAATTATCGCACTCTCATAGCACTGATTTCACACACCTTGCCTACTTTTATCTCCCTAAACTATTCACACAGTACTGCTCAGGTGCATTGGACTGTCATAAAAACAGACTGAGATTTTATCACTCCAATTACGTTTTTTTTCTCCATAGCTTTTTCTGTGAAAAGGAGGTACAGTTATAAATGTCAGGACAGGCTCCCTGTCACAACGCACTGCTAAATTTGGAAGATCTTCCAGAATAACGGCAATAGCTGATCACCCATGTAGCCCACATAGGCACCGTGGAGATTAAAAGCCACCGTACCCCGTGTTCATGTTTAAAAAGAACCTGCTCATTCATAAATGTGTACAGCATATCGACAGATCACAAATCACAAACCATCAGTTGACATGGAGTTTGCATCACATGCACCAATGCCACAAACACAGTCTTGCTGTTTGGCTTTCCTCATATAATCGGTTTCACTGACAATTAATACAAGTATAGCTGAGAAACTAATCAATACTCAAGCCCCTGGAACAGATCAGTATTACAGTTATGTAACCTACCTACTGTAATTTAAAGCACTACACCCAACAAGCTAAAAATCCTGTTTTTATTATGCTAGCACTGAAATTTAGATGCTATTTCGGGATCCGCTGAGGTACCTTTCACCAAAATGACCATTCAACTCCATTTTGACTGGCACTAGCTACCACAACCGCCGCCATTTCAAGGAACAAAAAATCTCCCGGGTCACAGCAGCACAAAGAAATAAAATGGCCCAATTGAGTGTTTATGTCGCATATTAAGGCAGCTCTAGGACAAGACCAGGCTGACCTTGTCGATGCCACTCCTGCGTGTGGAGATGTTTCTCAGGCCATGAAGTCGGTCGGTCCTCCTCAAGAGCTTCAACTCAGAGATGATCCAAGGACAAGCAGCCAGTCTGCTGGGCTGACCATACTGGTCTCAAAGCAGTAAAGAATGCCCCCAGCATACCCCCCTTTCACAATCTCTGTTATGTGTTTAATCCTTACACTCATGGTTAGTGCCTGTCCGTCCCCCGTTACGTCTTTGAGAAGGGGACTGACACCATCACCCTATGTTGCCGTCCTAACTCAAAGAAAAATTAGGCAAGAGTTGCGGGGGGGGGGGACATATATATCGAGGAGGCCCCTCACTAGAAAAATCCCAACCTTGAGAACTTCAAGGCAGGTGTGCGTGTGGGGGGGGGGTCATCTGTTCATCTGAGCGGCGTCGGACGGAGCTGCTGGGAGGGTTATGGTGCCGTTCATGTTTATATGCATGAATTAACAGATGGGCGAGATTCATCGCGAGACCCCGCAGGGCACCGATCAGACGCCGCTGGCCTGGTGTCTTACAGCTCCGTTCTCTCTGTTCTCACTCACAGCGCAACACCTAAATTGTTCCAGACCCGACTTCTCTTTGTGGGCAAAACACCCCACGACTGAGAAGGCAGACTGCGACACTGGTTACGAATGCCATCCCTTTTACAACTTATTATTAGAATTACTGGTAGAAGACACGCAAAACTGTATAATGGCCAGGTATAATGAAATAAAACAGGATAATGAGGGACTGGGTGTGTGAATGGGAAGTAAGGGGCTTACTCACGTTTCATTGGCTGATTTCTCTTTCTCCTGTCGGTCGGCCTGGCAACCTGCACAGAAGAATAAAAATGGAGGGTCATCATCCAGCTCAAATACATACTGGTGGCCACCAACCTATCCTCACAACAGTGCTGGAGTTGCGCTCAAAGACAAAAGTGCAACAAACAATGTAAAGATAGTATATTTTTCCATATCCTTTGACTGCAGGGGATTGCAATGACAAGGAACAGCGCAAACGCGAAGGGCCGCAGACTATTTCATCGTATGTCACTCATTTCCGACATAAAAAGCTGTTCCACGATAATGTCCAATTCATATGTAAAATGTCAGCCGCTGCACCGCTTGTAGTCTAATTGCTCTCAAGTCCGCTCCAGGCAAAATGGCTTTTCTAGCGCCCGAGCGCATCAACAAGAAGTGAGACTCGAGCGCCATCTACCGGTCTCACCGGAAAAGTCGCATTGCATATTCGATACGCTTACTGGAATAACGAAATATTTTGAGCACATTTCGTTTTGAAACATTTATTATAAAAAATGGACGAAACTATGGAAAATTATATGAAAAAACGAAATATTCCGTAGCATTGATTCCAAACCACGCTCCACATTTTGCAATTCACCTAGAGTGAGGACTGACTTGGAAGAGTTCCAGCGACGCACAGGTACACACAGGTTCGGGCTCTGAGAAGGCAGGTTTACCGCTCCAAAAAACCCGCTCCCGGCGCATCATTTCAGAAATCACCATGATCGTCGTGTGTGTTTGACTTGGATCGGCTTTAAACAAACGAGTTAAATGATGCACCGGGCAGACCGGCTAAGAGTATACTAACGCTATTTAAAGCGGCGGTCGGTCCTGACAAACACTTCGGCGCACATTACTCGAAGTGGCGATCAGAGCATATCATCACACAAAACACATTCATTTTATCTAAATGTAATTCATACAGAAAACGAGTGTTATTTATGTTTTTTTGTGGGGGGAGGGGGGCGTTACAAAGTATTTTTTCAGGTCGGATACTCGGAGAGACTAGAGTACAGGTCCCTGGGGAGGTAAGCTGATTCTTCCACCTCACACAGGCAGACAATTTATAAAATTCATTACAAATCCTGCCTTAAAGACAGAGCAATCCATACAAACACAAGTAGACACATAAACTCAGTGTGGAAGGAAATACATATACATATACAAACACATATACATATAGCAACAACAGAGCCGGAGTTAAAGACAACTGGCTGCTTCTGGTGCTTTGACTAGAGCACAAGGGTGGTGGTCAGCAGCCGCTGCATCGTGCTGAGGGGTAACAGTTTGTCAGGGGGAGACTAACGAGACCATATCAGAAGTCCAGGAGTAGGGGGCGGTTGTGGTGTTGGGGTGGGGTGACCACTGGTCTCAAGTTAGCAAGCGTGGTCAAGGCTCTGTGGCCTTTGCAAGGGCGCAATTCAGCACAAAGATAAAGCCACTGAAAGAGCACGAGAGGCATCAGACCTGATAATGAGCACAAGGTCATTTAAGAGCAGCACAGAGGAACTCCAAATTCTGCTCACTTAACAGGAGACACGTTGGCCAACACCAATGGAGTGGCTGGCATTCTGACGCAAGCCGTAGCACTCAGCAAACAAGCATCAGCAATTTATAATAGAGATGGCAGGGGGGTGTAGTGGATACAGCTGGGGGGCCAATCAGGGCCCTTAGTCTGACCTGGCTGGTTTAACTACCAGGGCGAACAAAAGACTTGAAAGGCTGCAACATGTTAACAAATGTGTTCGAGGAAATTGAAAAAATATTTACAGTATTACTTATGTAAATTATCCTTCTGACACAGGGCTTCTAAGGACAGAAAAGGATTTGCGGGAGTGCAAAAACCCAGAGAGCCCAAGATCACAATGCCGCACTCATCACCCTGCCAGCAGGTAATATCACCCGCTGGTCTGAGGCCACGTGTCTATCTTGCCATCAGGTCTCATTGTGGATGAAGATAGAATACTGTGTAGCCTGACGGAAGCCTGCTTCCCAAAAACAAGCAGATTAACTTGAAAACCACACAAATCAGGAGGTGAAAAACTTAGGAGAAAGCCCAGAGGTGTGCACCCTCCATTGTGCCGGGGAGTCTGGCTACATGCACAAGTGACATGTACCATAAACCTTCCCGCTAATGCATGCAGTGCTTTATAGGGACACAGTAACATGTATGGATACTACGGTTACACATGTATCAGGAAGAGGGCAAATGTCAGTTTGCAAGAAAAGAGGAAGAGTCCCTGACATGTTCCCTGCTCGCACCATGCGGCACGGTCCATCCATTTGCCATTCACCACTGATACTATACAGTCTGGTCTGCCTCTCTTAACATTCTTCCACTCACACTATACAGTACAGTAAGGTAATCCATCTCAACGTTACCCGTTCACGGCGTAGAGTTGGGTCTGTTCCCAACCCGTTAGACTGATGCACTAATGGAGACCTGTCTTCCTTGGAAAGGCAAATAGCTCTGCTCTCCATACCCTCTTAATGATGTTGTTTAGAAGGTTCAAGTGTGCAGTACAATCCCTCAACACTCAGCTAGTTCTCCAGACTGCACGTCCTGGATTTTTCTTTCTTTTTTTCCCTCCTGACGTGGGGGCGCCATATTATAAATGCTTTATAAATTATTAACGAACACAGAGAGCCGTACTAAAATTTTTTGCCCGCCCGATGATGGAATTAAGATGTGGTGAAGATCGGTGTCTCTGATAAACTGCTGGATGAATATTTCATTCGTCTCCAGAGGACTTGATTTACTACCCAGGTCTGCCGCTTGCAAAAGCCATCTTTGCACAGCACCAAATTACTTGGGCTGTTTCGGTTTCTGTGCGCCCCCCCCCCCCCCCCCCGACTCAGACTACCACCGCCCCTCCCCCAAACTACTGCACGTATTACTTTAGTTTATCATTTCCTCTGCAGTCATATTCGCATTAGAATGAGACTTTTCGACAGACTCACAGGTTTGCAGGATTTGGCCGGCTGGTGGACGCCAACGTGCCCTTGCCGCGTCACCCAAGACTACATGATAACAAAGGAACATCTAAGTAGACAAATTGTTCTGGGCAAATGATGGCTTTAAATTCCATGAGGTTTTATAGACTGCACATCCATCTCTCAAGTGACTGATCTCCTAAAGGCAGTACATGAACCTGGATCTCCTGGAAGCTGGGGCAGATACCTTGGCAGATTGGCCATTTTAGGGTAAATGGGGGGGCAGCAGAGCCTTAGTCATCCCAAAGGATACCCTTCCTGACCAGGAGGTCAAGGGAGGGCCACAGTGAGAGCACTGAGCAATTTCCATTGCTTTTGACAAACTAGGGGGGGGGATCCCTACTCTTCCTGTCGACCGTGACGGTGAATCTTAGCCTCTGCCTCACATGGCTAATGAGGGTTTCCTCAGTCCAACACTTAAAGAAAGCTTTTGGAACTGGGTGGGACACACACATACAGCAGTCTAATAAAGCAGACAGATGAGCCAGAGAGACCTGTGGTGAAGACTCACCGAACATTAAACATCCGAAATGGAATATGTTCCACTTGGATGTGGGCTGCCGTTTTGGGAACACGGGAAAAACAGATTTGCGAGGTCATCTGCCTCAGGTACGGATGAGTTCTTCCTCCTGAGCGAAGGCAAATAACCCATTTTCCGTGTCAATCTGGGAAGCAAAATGAAAATCCATGGAGGAGACCAGGCCATGCGAGAGATTCAGACCGCATCAGAAGCAGCAAAACGAGATTTATCACAAGCCCCCACCCCGGCAGGAACCCATGGCTGCAGTGGCTCGATTTTGGCGCCAGCACGACGCACATCACACAGCACGGCAAAGCACCATGGACGCCCAATGTCCTGGCTTATTCACTATCGGAGCAGAGCTGAATCAAAGGCCATTCCACCACAGCAGGAGAGGCATTTCACCCATCTGGGAAAGAGGTACGCAGTGGTACAAGATAAAAACCACTTCAAACACATGTAAACATATATGTGTAAAAAAAAAAAACAACAACAGAAGAAGAGTGCACTAGTTTGGTACCTCATACCCAGAATGTGGTGAGGGGGAGTTCACGCAGAGACACTCAAATTTAACCACTGATCATCAGTTACCAGTTCTAATGCTATTAATCAGTACTTCACAGGTGGTTGTTAGCTAAGCAACCCTTGATGTTACAGTGTTTATTTGTCTCCTCTGGAACCAGAAGTTAAATCTCAGGTCCAGTTTCTAAAGCAAGACAAAACCCATCATCCAGAAGCAAAAATATAGGTGGAGCAGCCAACCCAACGCACACCATGAGCGAAGCAGAGCTAAAGGATCGAAGTCGGTAGACTTCCCCTTTTTCCAGCCAGGGTCGACGGAATCAAGGCACGAGATGAAAAGAGGTCCCATCTGAACTCACCAGGACCCTGTCTGGTAAAACACAAGCAAGGAGAAAACAGCATGGTGGTGACATGTGCAGATGAAGATTGACGATGATGATGATGATGATTGATGAACGATGATTACCTTAACGGGCTCTTTTGCAACATCTGACAGCGGCAGGTGGAACATTCTTCAGAGTGTGGCCATGGCAGCAGTCATCTCATACACAGACATTACTGACGCGAAACAGTCAATTATTTACAGATGGTAATAGTTGATTTTCTGTCCAATAACAAAGAAAAAAAATCAACCGTGCATTTCTGTCAGAAGCTTGTTTACTCATCAGAAGTTCATTGGGTTATTCGTTATACTTATAGCCGGAGAGTGAAGCCATCGCCATTAGCCACAGACATACTCCAAGGATAATCAAAGTTGGTTTATTTCCTTGATGGGTTATTTAGCATTCCACATACTACATTCATCAGTTGGGAAAATAATAGTCCATTGCTTGTTGTTCACACTACTATAGTGATTTCAAAATGGAGTTCATTTCACGAAGATCCCTGTTAAAGATGAATACAGTCACCACGTCCCGCCTGGTCCAGACAGTTTAAACCCACCCCCCCCTTTCCACAACACTATGACCTTTTTAAAACTGATAAGCTTCCCCCCTCATTTCAAGAGAGGCTGGTGTGACATATAAAAGTCAGTCTTATTCATTCTGCTTGTGGGGAAAAACACACTGAGGTTCTCTTTCCTTTGTCGCTTCCAGCATGCTGTGGCTCACAGTCCCTGGATGTCTGACAGACCGCACCCCCCCAGCTCCGGCCCCGGTCAAGCTCCTGTCAGCCCCCGGCCCCGCGGCGGGCTGGGTAATGGAGCAGAGATGGGGGAGCGTGCTGACCGGGTCTGACAGTGCCAGGGGAGAGTGGAGAGTCCGGCTCGGTCACCGTGCCTGCAGACACCCTGTTTCATGCTTCCAGCCCCTGAGACAGAGGGAAGGACCTGGCTTTCGCTTTCTCCACTGGAGTGACCAGCAGGTAAAAGCACCGCGCACACTCACAAATTCACACACACACACTCACAAATTCTCACACACACACACACACACACACACACACACGTAGGGTAAACATATCCTTATGGGGACCGCTCATTCATTTCAATAGGAAAAATGCTAACGCTAACTATGACAACCTTAACCCCTACTCTGCCCTAACCATAACCATAAGTAACCTAACAAAATACAAGAGTTTTTGCATTTTTAGTTTTTTCATAGCAGTCACTGATTTTTATAAAATAGAGTTTTCCCTTATGGAGACCAGGAAACTGGTCCCCATAAGGGAAAAAAAACGGATATTTATCACGTTATGGGGACATTGTGTCCCCATAAGGATAGGTAAACCCGCTCACACACACANTAAACCCGCTCACACACACACACACACACACACAGACCAATGTTCATGTTCAGTTTGCTCAAGCTGAGAATTCTTCCTCTTATGTGACCCACTTAGTGCCTTGATAACAGACACACACAACATTGGGACTGTGAGCCCTGCTGAGGTATTTCCAGGATCACAAGGTCAGCATCCACATCTGGGCTCACTTGGGAGAGATGGGCATGGCAAACAGCAAGCTGACGGGATCCACAACAGAACGTGCAGTGTGTGCTCTGTTCCAGGAAGGGGGTCCCTGTCAATTTGATCCCTCCACCTGAGTCTTCCCCATTGCCTAAGTGAGTTTGGTAGTAACTGGCAGCCTGTTTCTGCACCAGCTTTTAAAATCTGCCCATTCTCATTCCGCAGCCATGACTACAAATCAGGAACAGGCTGTAGGGAGTGAGGGCAGGGCTACAAGGTCCTCCTCCATTTCCATCAAGGAAACCATCTCCATAACTAGGACATGCAAAGATAAAGCTGAAATCTTCCTATTCAGCATCTGGGCACTGCATTGTGGGTATTTACATGATGAAAACTGGTTCTTCATTAGTCACGCACTTAATGTGAAAATGCTACCAGAATTTTTTTTCACTTAACACAGCGCAGTACCATGCTGGTATTCAATTCCTAATCCACAGAGTTGTTATACTACTAAAATAAAAAAGGTCAAATTTAATTACATGTGGCTGATATGATCAGTAGAGGGACGTACAGTGGAAAAGTTTAGGCCACCAATATACATGGTGGCTTTGATATTAACCCCCGAGTTAAGACACGCAAGCTTGGCATGCAGGACCTTCTACCGTCTCATTCCTGCGTGACTAAAAGGTCACTGTGCATTGAAGAGGTGCAGGATGCAGGTGCAATGAGCTCACAAGCACCTCCTACAGGCTGGGGCTAATCATCAGCTACAACTGCTTTCAAGCAACCACATCGCCTACACATGGATGAGTGCCATTTCAGGCCAGTGTAACCGGCAGCAATAGAAAACAGAAATGGGCCAACAAGCTACAAACCTCCCGCTCTGTGCTAACCGACTCCAGCAGCTCGTTGCCATTCGTCGGCTCGAGGTAGGTAATGATGATCCGTTTATGAGAAATGGATAGCACCTCCCCCTCGGAAAGCCAGCTTTCTGTGAATAAGCACCGGATTCCTTCTTTGCACAGCTGTCAGAGGAGAGTACAGTAAGTACTTCAGAGTGAATTAAAGCAATTTAACATGGCTAGTAGAGGGATGACAAGGAATACGTATCATAAATTAATTGTCCAAATGGCCTTGAATATGTTAAGAAGGCCTTCAGTGCAACTGTATGGAGTATGGTTGATTTATGGTGGGGTTCAGTGGCATTGTAATGGAATCATCAAGCTGTCAATTTTAGGTGTTTTATGGCACACATCTTCATATCAAGAGTGGAATAGTGAACACGCTTCCCAACTTAATATTCACATGGCAGATTCATGGCGAGTTTGACACTACAGGAGCATGTCGCAAGTCCCTATCCCTGTGTTGTAAACAGCATTCTCAGCCCTAATTTTCATACTCAGTCCTATATTTTTGCAGTGGAGTATTTAGGCAATTTATTAAACCAGTTTAGTATCCATTTATCATTTATCCTGTTCTTGCAGCAAACATTTAAAAAGAGGTGGACCACTCCTTCATGATGAGACCTGCCAGAAATTGAGCTCTCTGGTGTTAACATCTATGGTCTCTTTAAGCATTTTCAGTGAGCTCAAAAATCCTCTGAGCTCAAATCCTTCAGGAATAGGACTTCCTAGTGTTAACATCTATGGTAAATTCTGGAGAACATTTAGGCATTTTCAGAGAGTTGGACAATCCTCTGAGCTCAGGTCCTCCAGGAATAGGACTACATGGTGGTGATGTCTATGGTATATTTTGCAGTGCATTTAGGCATCTTCAGAGAGCTGGACAATCCTCTGAGCTCCTGTCCTCTGGGTCACGTTTGTGTCTATGTTTGCCTGCTTGGGGAGTGACATCTGAAGAAAACTAGGCCTGTATATTCAATATGTTTTGATAAACGAGGTTTTTAAAAACCAGACGCTGAGGGATGAAGACTGAAAGCTGCTGCAGATCATGTATGTGTTTATTTCTGCTCAGGTAACACTTTGCTAAATGGCTTCCCATTCCTACATCTCACATCATCTCCACAACTGGATGTCTTTCCAATCAGAAACCCTGCTCAGGAATAGTCCAAACCTCACATATCTCAGTGTGATGCTCTACTGGAGCAACAGATTGTGTGCGGGTAAACGCACCTGTATTCAGCATCACCCTCTACCTCTTAAACAGAAACACAATTTCCTCAAAACACATTTGTTTAAGCAGGCTTTTTGGTAGCTTTACTGCGGTCAACTCATGTTGCTTGGATATCTGTGTTATTTGCATATGCCGACATACTTATATATACAGACATACATGCACACACACGAATATCTCCATATGTTTATCTGCCTGTTTTATGTTTTTGTCTTGCATTTAATTTGTTTCAGTTTCTTACTTCAATCTTTGTTTTTGTTCTGGTTTACACTTGTAGTTTTGTATTCAAATTGTTCAGCACCTTGTGACCTGTCTGTGACCTCTGTCTGTGACCTCTGTCTGTGACCTCTGTCTGTGACCTCTGTCTGTGACCTCTGTGCTTTATAAATCATTTTTACTTACTTACTCTGACACACAGACACAGACACAAAAACACACAGACACACACACACACAATAATTATATGTAATTATATCTTTGTGGGGACTCTCCATTCATTTCTATGGGGAAAACTGAAATCCCAACATGACGACCTTAACCCCTACCCAGCCTTAACCTTAACCATAAGTAACCAAACCAAATATGAGACTTTTGGCATTATTAATTTTTTTATTGCATTCAAAGATTTTTGTGGGGACCTGATAGATGGTCCCCTCAACATCAAAATAACAGGTTTTTATCACATTGTATAGTCAGTGCAATTTATATTTTTTTAATATATTCTCACATTGAATCGCCTGCACTTTCTCAATTTCGTTGTCAAGTGTCTTATTTGGTCCCCACAATGTAACAAAGATAATCCACACACACTCTCTCTCTCTCACACACACACACACACACACACACAAACACACACTGTGTGTCATGTACCCATAGAGCAGTAATAATTACACACTATAGGTGGACTCAGTCCTCTAACTACCAGGACACTCCTGCTTAGTCCCTGAAACAGCCACTGTGTTTTCCCCTAGACACCCACTCTGCCCTGAACACCAGGATATAAACTGTTAAAGCAAATAAGCAAATTAAAAATATATTATTTAAATCACATTAATTAGCAGAAGAAACTTTAATACAAACTGACTTTCAGTAGAATTTCAGAATCTGTTCAGCTGGATACTGCTCTATTCAGGTTAAGTGATCCACTCTTAGGTATGAGAGCAACCCCCCCCCCCCCAAAAAAAAAATTCTGTGTTTACCTCTTTCACCTCCATGCTACTTGCTGCCCTTTTTTGCCCCTCTGCCCACATTGAGGCCTGTTTCTGATAACCCTCCTCCCACCAGCACCAAAAGAAATACAGATTACAGGCTGCAGAGTCAACCTATTCATTTTTGACAGGGGCAATCAAAAGCAGAAAGTGAAAGCGGTCTGACAGACTGACACCTTTCAAAGTGCAGACGTCATCTCTAAGGTGAGAAGGGAGGGCCGGCAGGAGACTCCACATCCTCTGTTGCTCTCACAGTGCAAAGGCAGGCCGCGTGCTTCGCCGCAATCCATGACATTTTGCACATCATTATGGTTTATTGAGTCAATTTGTGTTGCCATATGCGTGTGCTGGATTTCAGATAGTTTGTAGGCTGATCTCATTAGCGCCATTCATTAGTTAAACTATTAGAACTATCTGGGAGCGTCAAACAGATGGATCTGTTGTCTACAAAAGAACGTCCAGCTGTAGGGAACTAAACCATAATTAATATTACAAAGCTGCTTTAGTGTGTTAAAGGATTTGATTAATGATAGGTCAATTAAACACAAAGCAGTTAACCCATATTTAGCTTATGCCCCCCCCCCCCTTCAAAGACCTCAGCTGACTCAAAATCATGTTGGAGCAGTTATCAGATAAAGGAATAAGGGCATTAATGAAAAGCCAGAATGCTCTATGGTTTCATCGAATTGTCCCCGCAGAAAGATTAATTTAAAAATCCATTAAAACAATCACTGAGGTATATCGGACAGTCGTCTTTTTCCTTGGCCGACCTCATAAACGTACTGACGTATAAACCGAAACTCAGAGCCCCGTTGATTGCCTTCATCATTGAATTATTCCTATTACCGCTCTCACAAGCAGAAGTCAAACCTCACAGAAGCCCCCCCCCAACAGAGGCAGGACTGCTTTGGGGGAAGAGAATGCAGTCAGACTGTGACCGTTGTAACTGATGCCCCCGTTTCACCACAAACTAGCAAAGGGCTCAGAGGAAATTAATCCAGGGACAGGCTGATAATATCCACTGGGCAGGCGACTGGTGGAAACAGCCCCATTAAGAGGTGGAGTCTGTTTGGCTGACTGGAACAACACATGTTAAATAAAACAGGAACATGATGCTGATATTGGCGGCTCATGACTGAGCCACACTTGGAAACTAGGAAACTGATTGCACAGCACAAGTGGCTCCCCTTGCTAGAGGTCCTTAAAAAACCCTAAAAGTTCAACACCATCGGTAACAGCTGTGTGCTCTTAGGGGGAGGAAAAAAAACTGATGAGAAATTGCCTGTTTGGTGGAAAGTTAGCAAGCACTGCAGCAGCTTCTAACAACTTCACAAAGAAAATGCAAAACATCCGCTTGCATTTTTCAGGGGGAAGTTCATCAGGAAACAGATTGTCCTAATGAGATGAGGATGAGAACTTAACAGGCATCAATGTAATGTACAGCTGCGTTTCGGGGTCACAAGTCCCCATGCTAACCTAGCTCCCTCTGGTGGCCACTACTGAATATTGCTCCACCAGCGAGCACCAAGTGACGGTTCTGCTAGCTGGCCAGCAACTACAGCTGAGATCAAAGTGGCTCAGACGGGGGTGCCAATGACGTTTCTGCTTCCCAGTCCTTCAAGGTACAATACATGCCGACAGGCTGGCTGGCAAACTACAAGAAGCCAGCTTGAACACAGGATGACATTGCAGGCTCATGGATACACTAACAAGTCACAAATTACAGAATGAAGCATGAGCTACAGGTGTGAGAACAGCAGTCGGGCTTCTTTTCTCTCATGGGACCTTAACAAGTAGGTCGGCTCATGAAGCTTGAGACGCCAGGACTCAGGATAACATCTGAACTTTCCAAGCTATGAGGTCCAGCTGGCTTCTTCAGGCACAGCGACTGGACATGACGCACTGGACATCACATCAATAGCAAGGTAGAGTATGAAAAGCAGTACATTTAGCTATATTTACCAGAGTCTCCAACTCCCTGAGATTATCTTCAAATAACACACATTTATCGCCTGGCTGAATGGCAGGGTGTTAGGGGCTGAGGAGGCTGCACCTTCCCCTAAGACCCTGAAAACCAGGCATAAGCTCACACAAACTGGTGAGAAGGCCTCTAATTAGACGCTCCTCTGCAAAAAGCCTTTCTTCCAGTCTTAATTACGTGGGCTCATTACCAACTACAGCCTTGCTTAAAGAGGAATGGGAGAGAATGGCTGAGTTGACATAGAGCGTTTCTCAAATGCCATACGGTCACGGATGAGCATTTAAACTGGGCAGCCTGCAATGTTTGGGCGGAAAAGGTAAACTGTGTGGGGGATGGGGAAAGGAAGGGGGAAGTAAGGGGGAGAGGGAAGCAGGGCAAAGGAGGGGAAGGAAGGGGAAGGAGGGGAGAAGAGAGGGAAAGCCAGGGAAAGGGGGGAAGAGGGTAGAGGAAGGGGAAGGAGGAGAAAACGGGAAAAGGTAGGGGATGGAGGGGGGAAGAGAGGGAAAATGAGGGGTAATGGAGGAAAAGGGGAAGAAAGGGGAAGGAGGAGGGAGAGACAGAAAGTGGGGGAAAAAAAGGGGAAAAGCTGGAGGGGGGGAAGAGGGAAAGTTGGGGGAAGGAGGGGGAATGAAGGGAAAGGAGAGGGAAAGGAAAAGCGGGAGAAAAGAAGAGGAAAAGGTAGGAAATGGGGGGATGAGGGGGAAGGATTGGATGGGGGAAGAAAGGGAAAGTGGGGACAAAAGGGGGAGAGAGGCAATAAAGGGGCAATGAGGGGAAGGAAGGAGAAAGAGGAGGGAAGAGAGGAAAAGCAAGGGGTAAGGGGGAAAGGGGACTGCCAATCAAACAAACAAGTTACAGTTTAACTCAACATCAAAGCATAATTTTAAAGATAAATCTCAATTAATTATTCATTTATGTAATGAAGCTTCCCAGCTCCTTTGTACAAGTACCTGCCCACTAAAGAGCTTTAATTAGAAAATGACACAGTGCAACCAGTCTAACCACAGCTCTTCATATTGGACTTGTTTTTTAGCCAATATAACCTGTGGATTATCCAGCTCCACACCACGTGGGCAACCCAGCAGTAAGAGACCGGACAGATGTTAAAAAAGCCAAGTATCATCGGGGTCCAGAAGCATTGCACCACCAGGGGGATAAAATTTAACACTGCTGATAAAAAAAATTAACCACGTTTAACCTTCACACCGAATCACTGATGACCAGTGATAAAATGCCATAAATAAAAAGTCATTATGAATGTGTAAATGCATCTGTTTAAAAGTACCTTTTAGCTGCATAGGTGATGTGAAGCACAGGGCATCGTTTGCTCATGCAAAGGCCGCCTGTCACCTCGCCTCCTCCGCACCAGCCCCACGCCTCTCAGTTTATTCTAATTGGCCCGGTGTTGTCACCCTGCGTGAAAAAATAAACATGCAGGGGACATTTCCGCAGATCCAAAGGTTAATTCCTCAACCAGAATTTTAATTGCACCCAGAGCTGCAGCCAGAGGCCGGCTGCTTTATCTATAAACTTCATCTGTGCTTGAAATTGATTTAATGGGATTTGTTTACACTCAGGATCGCCCTCCCAGTATGTAATTATTGCATTTTAAATGAAACAAATGCTATTCTCGTACTCACACCAGAGGGAACTCTAGCATAGGCTAGGCTGAACTGAGAAAGCACAGGGCCAGCTGGACCACATTGTGTCCTGTGAAGGGGATCTGTGTCCAATTACTCCCCCCCCCCCCCCTCCACTGTAGATGGAAGCTGGAGAAGCTGCTGCATCACTCAACGGGGAGTGCATGCACACACATCAGAGCCACCGGTGTGGACGTCACTGGCCACCAAGAAGGGAAAATGGGTCACTGACAAATTTGATCAGAGATGGGAGTGTCTCTCCTCGTATTAGTTCAGGTGTTTCACTCCCCGTACAGAGTGCATTTTCTTCATATGAAAATAAATTACCATTAAGGCAGTGGAATGAGTGCCAATGGTGTCCAACAAACCCACAGCAGGACTGTCAAAAGGTGTTTCACTTCAATAACTTCTGGAGACATTTCATTCATAAAAATAATTAATATGTTAGTAATAGTCAGTATGCAGGATCACTGTGTTCTCATTAGATCCAGGTTCTCGAGCCCGTTATTCAAGCCCACCTGCCTTTCTGTCTGATCTCTCACACTCGTGTGAAAGCAGCAGTCTATCACTGTTTATTGTTGTTATTATATCTAACCATAAAACCACTCTTTCCAATTAGTTTAGCTTGAGCATCAAGGGTAATCCCATGAAGGCCCCTACTGACCCTGAGGTGAAGGCGACAACTCAGACAAGCTAGACGATGACATTTTAACTGCCTGTCCACATGTAACCCTTTCAACAAGCATGGACCAAGAGCAGTACTTGTACAACAAAGACCTTCGAATAATGAAAGAAAGAAAAAAATTGAACCACAGGTCTTCATTCGATTCAAACATTTTCCACCCTGCAAAGCACAGAAATCCATCACCATATTCATAAAAAGCAGTGTAGTAACTGAATAAAAACGCCAGGATGGTTAATATAACAAGTGATTTTTTAAAGATAGCACTCATATGATCATTGACCATGTGAAAGAAACTGGATATTATCCATGTAAAGTGTGAAAAGTGAATATGAGAAAGATTCCAGCAATATTGTGGAACATATGGATGTATCAGGAATAGTCAGTGACTCTAATGGCAATGCATAAAAATCATGGAAGCTTCTACTTCATCATAATGCCAGAATCAGTGCAGAAACACATACGAACAGGACGAAAAAGGGAAAAAAAAAAAATGAATGAACAAAGCAATGAATGAATAATAAAGAAGCTCACCTCAATGCCCATACTACAAATGTGGAATTTCTGGAGACGGAGGCCAGAGCAGCCTGGATGCAAGAAGGAGATCGGCTCCTCTCCTATGATTAATGCAGGATGGCTGGGCCATTCATGGTCAATGTTTAAGTTTCTAAGTGGGATGGTCAACACACCAAGGGCAGAATACATCATGATGACATCTGGGCACGCATTTCATCACATTACTGCGGAATTGCGTGTTCTACTGGAGTGAAGCTAAGCAGTGTTTTCATTGGTCTTGTGAAATATAGCAACAGCATCTGGATGGAGCAAGAACTCTCTGACAAGCACAGAGAACAGACGGGAAGGATGCCACATTCCTCTGCATAACCACCAGCCATCACACTCACACTCTGTGTACTCAAAACACAAAAAGCACGTATTCTGGGGTCACTCACTGTGCCATTCCACTAGGGACACCCTCAAGGCCAACCCTCTGGGGTCAACCACTGAATTTTTATTTTAAAACATGGCTCCCAGTGACTAAAATAGCCCATTTGTTTAGTAAAGACTGCTGAACACCCTCCAAAACCAGCTTATCTTTCTTCTTGAAAACATGCTTTCTCTCCAAGGGACTGTGTGAATACATCAAGAGTAGGTACGTGTTTATTGATAAATACCCACAGAATATCAACACAGAGCGTGTATCAATACATCTGAATCACCTTTGTTTCACCCATCAAAGCACTGCCAGAAGTCATTAAATTAAAGCTTTAAATAGGCTGATGAAATTATCGTCACTACTCTCATTAAAATGCTAATGGAGATTGTAATTAATAAATTAGGTGATGAACATTCATCGGAGACGAACGACAAAAATAATAATTATGCACATGAGAAACAGGGGCCTGAAGCGACCGTTTAGCATATGGATTTGTCAGTGGATGTTTCCAAAGCACAGAGACGATGTTCTTCTCTAGCTTTCAAAGACAGAGTTTGGAGACACCACAGACTGGCCCACACACCCTCTGCTGTCCGAACTGGAAATGACATCAGGATACCACTGATCGAAGCATGAAACATTACTATAAACATACGGAAAAAGTGACTGGAATCCACTCTTCTTCTGAGCAGACTAATTCTGAGAATGGAGTTAAGACAAGTCACATTAAAAGAAAGCAGTTTAATCAGTTAAACACAGTTAAAGTACAACCATTTGAAAACTGCACATAGCAAACAAATGAGTACGGAGTTTGGGACGACGTTGCTGCCATCAAAAAGGCTCTTTTTTCCAATATTAAAAACATTATAAAATAATGACTTATTTTCTTTCGAGATTCCTTGACATGCTTTCAACAAAACAGTTTGTGCTAGAGTACGTTTACATGCACACTAAGAAAATGGATTTATTGCGTTAGTCCAACTAAAACCGGACCTTTAAAGTGCATGCAAACACATTAGTTCGACTGAAATCGAATTTCTCAAAGTCGGGCTATGATAATGTGATTGGGAATCGATTTACCCCTGCATGCATATATTCAATCGAACTCAAACTGGCCCAGGCTCTCTGCGAATGCGCCAGTCCCCCCACCGGGGTTTGACCCGGAAATAACAGCAGAAGCCGGTACATAGAAAAAGAGAAGCTTGGAACAAAAAATACAGTACTGTAAAGCTGCCCAATTTACTGCTCAACTAAAGGACCCTTTTCCATTGCGCCACATACCGTACTTCTAGTACTTCAAGAAGGAACCAAAACTACGGTACTTCAAGGTGTTGGCTTTCCACTGGCATAAAAACTGGTACAAGTGCTGAATGACGTCACAACGTGAAGCAGGGTATTTTGTAATGAATTTGAACAATTGCTGTAGTAGGACTGGACGACGTGCGATATTAATACCAACATGTCATGTTAGGCACATCCAGTTTTTACATTGCTAGTCAATAATTAGATTAAGATCAGGCTTTTTCTTACCTTCAATTCGGCAGCACAAATATTATAACGCAGGGAGTTTAAGTCTCGTTAAAACATTTTACTGTCATAGGAAAAAAAAAAACTTACAGGTTTGCAATTTTAATTATTATTCCTTTTCACTATTATCTAGTATGTATTATCATAATCATTCGTTCTTAATGTTTAAATCACTCCTAGACAAGTTTGTGGGAAATTTATGTTGAACTCCTTGTTTGTTTCATAAATACCCCAATATTTATTACCACAAAATCACATTGCAATATTTAAAAATTCTCCAATACTGTTCTGTCATAGTACATTAAACTAAATACATTTTTGTTATGCTATCCTTCCGACCAGTTCACAATTAAACTTGTGTCACTTCATTTGTCCACGCACCCATTATTGTTATTTTTATTTTTTAAGGTCTGTGACATAATGGATCAACCAGAAAAAGCCTGATACTAACAATTAAGCTGAAAGGAGCCATATCGCCACCTATTGTAGCGGAGTCGGACATACTTTGGGCAGTAAATCGATTCCCCTCCCGTGCATGTATACTGGGACAAGGACGATAGTCCGATTAAATGACGTAGTCGAGCTATAACTGTAATGTTATGGTTCGACTAAATTTAACCGGCACGGTTAGAACACTCTTCATATTCGGAAGAGGATGTTGAGTTGGACTGTAGTTTGCATAACACCATTACATAAAGCCGCACTGCTGATTTATAATGCAGTTGTAGGGTCACTGACAATATAAGCAAATGGTACCAGCCATGTCCATTGTTCATTCAAAGACCACAAAAAAAGATTTTAAAGAACTTAAAATTCCAGAATTCCTATCGCCTTCCATTTTCAACCGTCCACATACCACCTAAAGTTGACTGGCATTGGAGAATCTCTCATTCACGGCACATTCGTTTTTCAAAAGTCTTGCCTGCCTTCTCAGTCACAATACACTGATAATGACACTCTCTGCCGTGTAAGATGTTTGAACCAGACTTTGATGGTGTCCTCATTTGTGCTTGAGTACCAGACAAAGACTGCCGTTGGACCTGCAGATGACAACATCCGCTTAAAAGCCACTGTGAAAGTAAATGTGGTTAATGTCTAAAGATGTCTCACTCTCCTGGGGTCAACAACAAAATAGATAAATAATGGGCATAAAGATATGAATAATAAACGCTGTCTTCGATGCACAGAGTAGACTATTGCTGTAGAACCTCATTGAACAGAGACCTTTCCTAATACTGTATTATTGTGATTATTTACACTGATTAGTTGTGTAACATGTGATGATCCCCTATGTTAATATTAGCTTTGCATACCAGTCATGAGAAAGTGAGCCAGCCCTCCATTTGGTGATGTGAAGAGCTTCTCCAAAGGAAGCAGAACCATGACAAAGATGAAGGACAAAACAATTTGCATTCAATCACAATCTGACCTTTAAACATCTGAACATTTATGAGAGACATGAATTTGACAACAAAAACGGCCCAATACAAATAAGACACATGAAAAGTACCTTGCAGCCCTGACTGGGATAAGTGCTTAGAAGATGGATGGAGACTGAAAACACACATAGTACAAATATAGCTGCTAGGCCTCCTTCAGAATTAACACATCAAACACAGGGACCCTT